GGAAGCAAGCCCATCTCAGAGAAGGAAAACTCTGGTCCTAAACCTCCGCTGCCTTGTAGAACATCTTCGGGAGAAGAAAAGGCTCAGGAGTCAACCCTACACCAGTCCCTAAGGCGGTTGGGTGGTGTTTTCCTTTGGACCCCATCAGTGAGGCTGGGAGGGGAGTCTTGTCATCTGGGTGACCCATGACCTCCATGCACACTGCCCAGGCTTGCCTCTCGGGGAGGGCACTTGGGTGCTGCTAGCACAGCACTTTGACTTCAACCGCAGAGGCGCACTGCATTGTCTCTCGAGAGACAGATGCCGACCCAGGTGACTTTGCTGACCATCTTCCCACCAACCACGTCCAGGCCATGCAGCTGCAGCCCAGAGAGAAATTTTAATCTTTTAAAAACGAACAAACCTGAACCAACCATATACATTAAGTTCTTAAATCAGGTACTGGGAATCTTTGCCCCCCCCCTTTGTTACTGGACTCCAACTCCCATCAGCCTCAGCAAGCATGGCCAATGGCCAGGGACAGGGGTCAGCAAACTTTTTCAGCAGGGGGCCAGTCCACTGTCTCTCAGAGCTTGTGGGGGGCCAGACTATATTTGGGGAGGGATGAAAAAATTCCTATGCCCCACAAATAACCCAGAGATGCATTTTAAATAAAAGGACACATTCTACTCATGTAAAAACACGCTGATTCCCGGACTGTCCACAGGCTGGATTGAGAAGGCGATTGGGCTGGATCCAGCCCCCGGGCCTTAGGCTGCCTACCCTTGGCCAGGGATGATGGCCGCTGTTGTTTGTAGCTGCACAACAAAGATTGTTGGAGGCCCAAATGTTACCCAGCGGTAGGACTGGCCATAATAGAGATAGGTCTGTAAGCATCTCTATACATCAGGGATGGGGACTCCAACTTGCCTCTGCTCCAACAAGCATGACCAACGGGTAGGGATGATGGGAGTTGTAGTCCAGCAACATTTACTTTACTTCAATGGTGTGGTGCCGAGAGACTACCAAGCCGTGGTCTGTTGGGGACCAGGAGGGTGGGGACTGTCAGTCTTTGTGGGCCAGAGGCAGGTTCGGGGTCCGAAACAGGGAAGGACCACAGCAGGTCAGGGCTGTAGCTCAGCGGTGGAGCAAAAGGTCCCTGGTTCAGTCCTGGCATCCCCAGGTATTAGCGCAGATAACAGGTGAAAGTGTCTTATATTTGGGGCAACTACTTTGCAATTATTATATATTAGTCTAGGGGAAGCTCAAATGTACAGTAATGTTTTGTGTGTAAGCGCGATGAATCTTCACCAGGCTGGTGCTTTCGGCTTCTTGTTACTGTTCCAGTAACAAGAAGCCGAAAGCACCAGCCTGAAGATGACGAGTGAGACCTCGTCGAAACGTCGCCTAGACACCCCAACTTTTACACGGGAAGACACCCGAGGACACCAAAACCTGCATTCCTGTACCCGTGAAAATCTACGAAAGCAAATATATATATATATATATATATATATATATATAGTATATTAGGGGAAAGTGCCTACACAAATGTGTGTTTTCTGAGAAATAGGCACTAAGATTCTGATGAACTTTCACGAGGACTTTTATTTTAAAAATTGCCAGCTGATGTGGAAGTGAGGAGAGCCGATCTTAAAAGATTGGGGGGAGGACACATGGGCTGCCCCCCAATAAAAAAATATACATGGCTAACTGAGGTTCTGCCCCCACCCCCAACAAAAGGCCTGTCCCCACTAGCAAAGGCCTGATCCCTAACAAAAATCCTGGCTACATCTATGGGGAGGGGGAATGAAAAACTGAGAAATAGAGATTGTCAGATCTGCTCAACCCTATGGGTAAGGGGGTTAAAAAACAAAACCCAAACTCTGTAATGAGAGCCTTTTTCTTACTGCTGGTCCGCCTGTTTTGTGGAGAAGGGAGGGGGGACACATAAGAATATGGAATTATTATCTTCTGATGATCTCTCTCTCACATACACAGCCAGTGAAGGTATCTGGATCCTTGGTGCAGACTTTTTAATTCCATTCATCCACACACACACACACACACACACCCCAATTCTTGCCTGAAACAAACAATCCGACACACCTCTCTCCGTCTCCATTTGCCTGCAGGTGTCCCTCTTTTTTATTTCCCCATAGCTCTGCTTTTTTTGGACAATGAACCATCTCTCTCTCTCTCTCTCCAATCCATTTCTCACTCTTCTCTATCTATCTATCTATCTATCTATCTATCTATCTATCTATCTATCTATCTATTTCTGTTCTGTCTGTCTTCTACTTATCTATCTGTTCATCTCTCTCTCACCTGTCTATCCATCTACCTATCTCTAAATCCTAGCAAGGTTGTAAAAACTACAAGGCGGAGATCCCTGGAGCAAAATGTCCCCTGTCTAACCAGAGGCAGAGGCAGGCTGTGTGTGTGTGTGGGGGGGGGGTTCCCCTCCGAAAGATGAGGCTGGAAGATCTCTCAGCTCTGACCTCCCCCTCTCCCCTCTGTCGGTGCGGACACACACACACACACACACACACACACACACCCCTCTTTCCCATCTGATGGTCAATATCAGCCCCCCCCCAGCTGCCCCAAGGGAGTGGGGGGAGTGAAATCGAAACTACAAAATGCCCATTAAGTGCTGTATGGTTAAAGGCAAAGTGGGGAGGGGAAGAGGAGAGCCGTTCTCTGGGGGTTTAGTGTTAAGGGGAGAGGGGGGGGGAGGTTGTTGAATGGGCCTCGCAGTCCGATCAATACCAGCTCCCCTCCCCCTCCTCTTTCCCAATCAATTTCGCCCCCCATCCTTAAGAGGAACAGGCGGGTGACATTCAAGAGCCAGAAATGGTTGGGTCAGATTACTGGGAAATATGATGTTTCTCCCTCTTTGTTATTTAAAGGGATAGTGGGGGCGGGTTGTGAGAATGGATTGAGGCATCCTAGCTATGTGTGTGTCGCACCCACAATTGTGATGCCTTAATCTAGTCTCTCTCCCCCTCTCTTCTAGGATGAAGTCTCCCTTTCTTTCTTTTGGAAATTTCATATACAAACCCAGATTCATTCACTCCAAAACAGAGGTGGATCTTCTCTGTCAACAACAACTTCTTCAAATATTTTAGAGTCCCTTTTTGGGGGGTGCTGTGTGCACAAAAAACCTCCAGTAAATCAAAAGAATTAAAAGAATTTCTTATTTTACTTATTTTAAACAGAACCACATAAACCCAGTTACTTAATGAAGGAGTGTGCGGTCTTCCTTACCCTTCCAAAATCTGCTTAATCTCCATTGGTTTTCCCCCTTCCATCATTTCCACCAGTTTCAAACCCAGCCCCCAGCCCCAATTTGGAAATGGCTTCTTGGTGGGAGAGAGGCAGGTCTCTTTCTCTCCCCCCCCCCCGCAAAATTAATTGTAGGGCAGAGAAGTGGCTGAAACATTTCCCCCTTCACTCTCCTCACCTTGTAGAATTAAAAGGGGGAAAGTTTTATTCTGGTGAAATGGACTAGGGTAAGATGCCAAAATGTTAATTGCCCTCTTCTGCCCCTTCTTAATGGGGTCCTGCAGGTATATGGGAAGCTCCCTCGGCCCCTCTGGCACCATCGTGGACAGAAAGACACCGCCTCTCAGCAAACTCTTCCACGCACACATTTCTCTCTCACTCTTTCACACAGGGAGAAACACAAGGATTCTCTTTTTCATCCCCCCCCCCTTCTCTCTCTCTCTCTCTCTCTCTCTTGCACACAGAGGCCTCGATCCCTCTCTCTGAAAAGGGATGCCAGTGAAATAGGCAGGCACGTTTTACGCACAAGTTTTCATTGCCCCCCTCACACGTTTTACCCTTTGTTCTCCTTGCGAGTTTGACTCCCCCCCCCACCGACTTTTCTATTTTTTGCAAGCCATGTTGAGACTAGGAGCCGGAAGACAGAAATACACCCCCCCAAAGCAAATGTTCATTACGGTTTTTTTAAAAAAAGCTAATTTCCACCCACCCACCATCGAAATAAAAAGTAACTGCAAAGGAACCGGGGGGGGCTGGATGATGGCTTCTTCCCCCCCCCCCCCCGCTAAACCCACCGAAGCTGAAGGACTCTTCGACCTTCACTCTCCTCCTCTCCCCGCAACCCAGGCTTCAATGAAAATATGCAAGGGGGGGCTAAGGAAAAATAAAACTCCTTCGAGTTAAGCGCTGCTATGTCGCGTCGTGCAAAAGATGCTCCTCTCCGCAGCAGAGGCAGCAGTCGCCCCCCCCCCCGTTCCCCCTTTCTTTCCCCTTCTCCTCCCTCTCCCTTTCCAAATCGTTTTCTCAAACCACCAAAAAATACCAGCAACCTGTAACCCCCCCCCTTTGAAGCCTGCAATTTCCCAAGAAAGAGAGAAAAATGGGAGGAAAGAGAAAAGATCCCTCCTTTTCTTCTTTTCCCTTCATTCCTTTTTCTCTGCTGCTTTGAGATCTGAGCTGCTGCTGTTTACATCCGGTAGCTTTGACTGGGCTTGTGTGTGTGTTCGATTAATAATAATAATAATAACAACAACAATATATTTAAACACATAAACAAGCGGGAAATATCTCTGAATCATCCCCAGATCTTTCATTTTTTAGCGATATTTTTCAATATAAACCCAAAGCAGCAAGACCCAAAAAGTGAAAAAGAAGTTTGTGTGTGTGTTTTCATCATCATCATTATATTTAGATACACACACACCCATACACACACACACACACACACACACACAGAGCAGGAAGGTTTACTAAGAAAAAGGTAAATGCAGTGTGTGTCTTGGCTTGTTGTTATTTTAGGGCTGGTTGAGGGTGATGCAGAGCATCTCTGCATAACCCCCAGCCGAGGACCCCCCCCCATCTGGATAATCCCCGGCGGAGTAAGGCTCCCCCCTCCCTTTAAAAAAAGGCATCTCGAAATATTGCAACCCCCTGAGCAGCCCCCCCCCCCGAGCAGCTCGCTCAGCCGAAAGTTTCTCCTTCTCCAGACCATCTTTTGCAGATCTCCCTGGGAAAAGGGGTGGGGAGCCGGGAGCCTGCAAAGGGGTTTGGTTGGCTGAGGAGCATTTTTTAATTTCTTTTTCTTCCTCCCTCCTCCCTCCCCATCTTTTCTTCTTTTCCAAAGAAAGATCCCTGCTCTCTCTCTCTCTCTCTCTCTCTCTCTCTCTCTCTCTCGCTTTGTGTGTTTTGTTTTGGGCTCTCTTTGCAACAGATCAATGGAAGCGCCACCAGCCACAGAGTAGCAAAATTATGGGATGGCGTGTGCCTTGGCCCGCCTCTCCGCAGAGTGGTGGGACAATGTGGCTTTTGATTTGCAGCAGGAGGGTCTGCCCGGATTAGGAGCTGGTTGGATCCGTCTTCCTTTTCTCCCTCTGTGTTATCTCCCCCCCCCTCAAAGAATATTGCCAGCAGGGGACATAAATCAGGAAAGGAAGGTTTTTGTTTGCATTTTTTTTTTTGGGGGGGGTGGTATAAAACTAGGAGAGCCGGACAAAGAAGGGAAAAGAAGAGGGTCGTTTTGATCTCCTCTACAAATTTATTTTTTAAATAATAAGAATAACTCCCCAACTTTGTGTGAATGGACTTGGAGGAGGTGCCTGGACCCGCAGGAACAGGACTGGCTGGTCCCGGAAGGGGTTTTGGACGAGTTCTTAAATGGTGCGGCGTTTGTTTTCATTTTCGAATTATAAATATGTTTTCACCCCAGAAAATCACCTTTGGCTGAATTTCCCCTCGGATCAAAAGAAACTGGTAAATGTCTTATTTCTCTCTCTTTCCCCCCATTCATTCTGAACAAAGTAAATACTTAAAAATTAAGGCTACAATCCTACAGATCCTTACTTGGGAGTAAACCCCATTGAAATCCGTGGGACTCGATTCTGAGTAGGTCAGAACGACCTTAGTAAGACCTTCGTATCCTAAACCCATTTTGGGGCTTAAAAAATGGAATTTTGATTAAGGCTACAGTTTACTTGGGAGTAAAAGCCCTGAGTTCAACTGGGCTTACCTCTGAGTAGACGCGTCTAGAATTCTGCCTCGTGAAGAAGGTCCTGCTCAGAGTCTCCCCGTTGAAATTATGGCACGTGCCTAATTTAGGCCCATTACTTTCAGTGGGTCTACTCTGAGTATAATCCTAAGACTCTTTGGGGGAGGGAGCTACCTTTTGACCCAAACGAGACTGTCTATAGAGGTGCTCGTCTTATTGGGGGGTTCATCAATCTAGCAGGTCTACTCTGAAGTAAGCCGCCCTCAGTTCTAGGAAGCTTGCTACCAGCCTGGTTCTCTTGCATGCTTACTCAGGAGTAAGCCCCAGTGAGCTCACTGGAGTTTCTCTTCTGGTGTGTCCATTACGAAATGTCGTGTTTGGAAGGTTGGTTTGTGTGTGTGTTGTGGCTGGTCTGATATACAGTATTTTCAGTTAGAATTGAATGCATCTCAACGCTCCCCCCCCTTCAAAGCCCCTTCCCCAAATATAAAACTCATTCTTTGGACATTTTTGAGGAGAGGGAAAAAAAACTTTGGCTGAGACAGGCAGCATAGAGATGTAACTTTATCTTTTGCACAGCTTGAGAATGTGGGTCTCTGGGGAGGGGGTGCGGGGGGGGGTGCCTAGTGATTAATTTCCCTACTAAATAACCATTTAGTGTGTCTCCTCTGCCTCCATTTGGGCACTGATACCTAAAAGCCCAGAGGTGAGATCCATCAGAATATTTTTCCTGTGCAAGGAACCTTGGCTTGAAATGGATAGTGGATCGCAAAACTTCTAGTTCAGAGTGATTTGCATGCATCAGGTTCTGTGTATTTATTTTGGTGATCCTTACAACAACATGCAGCAAGTCTGATGGTCCTCATATTTCCAAGCCGGAGGTTGAGAGTTTGCTTAAGGCAGGCCAGACCTGGGCAGAGATGAGGTCTGGCACCTGGGCCACATTTTGGAGCACACACCCCCCCCCCCGTTGTCCAGAGTGATTTATGTCAGTCATATCCCCACAGCAACCCAGTGAGGTAGGGCATATTTAGGAGTGGGGGAGGTGATGAGATAATGACCTGCCCAAATCTGCAATGAACACACAGTCTCCTGATTTGTAGGTCAGCCTCTTAAGCCACTAACCTCAGTTATGCTCCAGATATCTTATTTCCCCCCAGGACAGGAGTAATTCCTCCCTGAGCTGATGGCATGTGGGTTGAGGTTGCTTTCAGTCCCCCCCCTCCCCGCCCTCACAACACCATCAGACACGCTCGGATTACAGAGAACACAGGATTACAGAAAGCCAGAATGTCTTTTTCAACTGGACATATTTCAGATTGTAATAACACCAGAACTGCTGCTCTTTTTCTCTCCCATCTCTTAAAGGCAGGTGCAGACAAGGCGGACGACTCCTGATTTGGATTATGAATCACGTTGACCCATGAAGGATTAGCTGGGTGCCGTTTGAGACTCCTTTCTCCTTCCAGGCTTGGCGTCTTCTGCCAAGAGGGATCAGCGGCTTTCTTGTTGTTGGGCAAGGGGGACAAATGGCCAAGTGGTTTAAGGATTACTTGAGTTTTGGGAGCAGGAGGTCTCCCCCACAGCCCCCCAAACCAGATTACACCGAAAGTGAGATCTTGAAAGCCTACCGAGCTCAGAAGAGCTTGGATTTTGAGGATCCCTACGAAGATGGCAATGGGAAACTGGATCCGGACTCAGAAGGGTCCCCAAACAAAGGGGTTGCTGCTGCTGCTGCTGCTGCTGCTGCTGCTGCAGGAATCAGTGTGGAAGGGAAGTATGGCTCCCCCAAGCACAGACTCATCAAAGTGGAAGCTTCTGACCTGAACAGGACCAAAGCCCTCTTGGCGGCTGAGGATGTGACGACCCAGCCAGATCAGGTATGTGAAACACAAGGCCCCTTTTGCAAGCAACCCCCCCCCCCCCGATCTGTGCCATTTTGCAGCACGGTTCTTAAATGCAATCTTGCACATCCTAATTTTTGCAAGTCTCTCTTCCTCCCCTCCCCCACCCCGCAAAATACTAAGTTTCTACTCCTCATAACTACGGAACTGATTTGGTGTAAGAAATGGTGTGTTTATGGGAATGCCAAAGGGTGGACTGAAATCTACAAAGTTAACTTTTCCAATTCAAAGGGTGGCTTTGAAGCATTCATTCAAACACAGACAAGTAATCTTACTTGGTTCCCAGGCATTTGATGATTGGCACTTAACTCTTTCATGTATTGAAGCATTTTTATACCGCCTTCCTTGCAGTTCCCCAAGGTGGTGGTCAATAAAAAAACCCATAAAAACCCCCAATAAAAACCTGGGAACTGTAGTTTACCCCAAGCTACAATTCCCAGCATCCTTAACCAGTGTAAAAAAAACAGATATATAAGCTAGGTTTCAGTAAGGAAATTGAATGTCTAGTTGCCATTTGGGGGCAAGACAACTCTAAAATCTTATTTTTCAAATGATGCACTGACTGTGATTGATTCTCAGTTAAACATCTGGCTAGTGCAGATGACAACCTTGAGCTAGGATAAGAGCTTTGAGAAGAAAACTCACTTTATCCAGTTCACATATCTATTGGCCTATTCCAACCTCTTTTTCTTAATGGTGACACGGACCATTCATAATGCAGGAATATGCTTCACACCTCTGAGCTGGGCGGGGGGGGGGGAGCGAAGACAAGTGACAACAATTCACTATAACGCTCTTCGCTGTTCCTGCTCAGGCTGCACAGAAAAAGCATTTTGCTTCCTGAAATTCATTCCGATTGTGCAAATAAAATATAATGGATAGAATTCTACAGGAGGGGGTTCTAGTGTGTGAAAACAGCCCCGATCCAGGGATCCCCAGATGGGGGAGGGGTCAGGCGCCATCTTCACTTGGTCAGAAGTGGTTGAAAACCAGGTGCAAAATGCACCTGGCACCTGGCTAATTTCAAACACTGCTAAACTATAGTTTCCAGGATCCTTGGATTGTCTGTGTGCAAAGCATCAGTAAAAATCTACTGGACAATAAAATATGCAGTGGTGACCCAGGGCAAATTAATGATGGATCCTTGTATACATGTACAAGTCAACTTATTTTTTAAACAACAAAAAAGGTATTTTAGGAGATGTGAAAAAGTTATGTCTGTGAAATTTGATTTGCGGCAAGTTATTTAGACGTGCAGGTCAGCAACGCAGATGCTCCGGTCATCAAGAGCTGAGGCAGCCAATCTTAGGATGAGCTGTTATGCTGGTGACTTGTTTATGATTCTAGTCCTCAAGGAAAGCTTGAACTGAAAAGGTGGTGTAGCATCGCAGCTGCAAATCAGGAGGAGCTGGGTTCAAATCTTGCTTCTGCCAGGTGCTGTGCTGATCTGCGGTTTATAGCAAATGCAAATGTGAACCTTGAACACTTTCTGCCAGTCTGGAACCTTTTGCATGCAAAGTGTGCCACTGAGTGATGGCCCTTCCCCTGAAAGTAAGATCCTAGTCCTCATGGCTTTAAATCCAGGGTTGATTTAAACAGGAGCATAGGAAGCTGGTTTATGCCATTGCTTCAAGCTACTCTGCAAGCTCTTGGCCTTCACAGGAAGCTACAATTCCTAGCATCCCTTTTGGCTTTGAAGCCATAAAAAGTTCTGTAGGTTTGCAGCTGATTCAAGGTTGAGGCATAAGTGTGTGATAAAAAATCCTGCCATTATCTAGAAATAGGTGGGCCATTTTCCTTTTTGGTTTTTACTTTTTGGAATAGGAAAGATATCTTCACTCTGCTAATGATTCAGCAGGAGGGAATATGCCATTTCCTTGGGAGATCTTCCTAACTGTGGTTCAAGTGCAGCCAAAAACACTACTGCTGCCAGATGATGCCTCTTAGAATCATAGAAATGGGATGGGACCCCCTAAGGGTCATCTTGGACAGATGGTCATCTAAGCTCTGCTTTAAAACCTCCAGCAAAGAAAAGTCCACTACCTTCTGACGGTGTCTGTCAACTGTCAAATGGCTCTTACCAGCAGTAAATTCTTCCTAATGTTGAGTTGGAATCTCTTTCTTTGTCATTTGAATCCATGGTCCCCCCCCCCCCCCGAAGAAAAATGGCTCCATCTTCTATGCCAGGGGTTGGCAAATTTTTTCAGCAGGGGGCCGGTCCACTGTCCCTCAAACCTTGTGGGGGGCCGGACTATATTTTTTTGGGGGGGAATGAACGAGGGACAGTGAGCGGCATGCGAAGGGGCTCCTGAGAGGGGCTGCTTTAAATGGTGGGGGCTCGAGAGGGGCGCTCAGCCAGCCATGGCTCCTGTGTCTTGCGAGCAGCAGGGATGGTGGCAGAGGAGGGACGATGAGTGGCTTGCAAAAGGGCTCTGGAGAGGGGCTGGCACCAACAAAGCCCAGCCCCCTTCCTCCTCTAGGCAGGGCAGGGAGAAGCCAGGAGGAGGGAGGGAAGAGGCGCCACCACGGGGTGGGGGTGGGTGGGGGAATGGCACAGCCCGACTGATCAGAATCAGATCCATGCTGATCCATGCGGTGATTCCTGGACTGTCTGCGGGCCAGATCCAGAAGGCAATTGGGCTAGATCTGGCCCCCAGGCCTTAGTTTGCTGGACCCATGTTCAGATACTTGAAGATGGCTTGCATGTCACCTCTCAGTTTTCTCTTCCCCACGGCTAAACTTCTATCAAGTCCCCTCTTACTTGCCTTTTCTCATAAATGAATGAATGAATGGAGACTGAATGGCCACAAATGGTCTCTTTCTGTTTCCCCCTTGTCACATGCGGCTGATGAGAGAGTTCCCTCAGCAAGGCTAGATGCCAGATTTTATCATATCAGTCATTCAGATCCATATATATTATTTATTTTTGTTTATTTGTCACATTTGTGTCCCTCTCTCCTCCCTCCAAGGAGCTTAAGATGGCGGGAATGGCTCTCTTCCTCATTCTATCCTCATGACAACCCTAGACTGGGAGACGGTGACTGTGGCCCAAAGTCGGCCATATGACCAAGTTAGGGGATTTGAACCCAGGTCTCTCCCAGCCTGTCCAGCTCTCTAGCCACTCCTCCCAGCTGGCTCTGTGTGAGATCCTTCCAGAACTCTGCTGGTGCTGCAGGCATGCAATGAGCTTCCTTGCCAGAAATGCAACAAAGTCCCCTTTTTCCTGCTCTTGACCATGTCCAGTAATCCCAGGAGAGCTGTGTGCATGGCACTGTGTGAGACAGGGAAAATAGACAATTAAAGCAAAGTTCTGGTTTCTCTCTCTCTTTTCTGCCAAGTGAACATTTTCAGCTAAGCTGCTGTGGGTTTTTTCTTCCTTTCTCTTTTTGAACAGCAGTGATTCACAGGAGGTGTTAATTGCCCTGGAGGGATTTCCTTCACCCCTCCTTATATCTCTCAGATAGGCAGAGGCAGGTGTTTGACAAATAACTTTGAACCCCAGGAAGAAGATCACAGGCTCCTCTTTGTACCTTTCCCCTGTGGACTTTGTGTCCTCATTAGCCTCACTGTCTGCAGCTAATTAAATTTGACTCAGAGTAGACCCATCTAAAGGGCTGTCACAGGAAGATGGAGCAAGCTTATTTTCTGCTGCTCCAGAGGCTGGGGCCGGAACTAAGAGATTCAAAGGACAGGACAGGAGATTCTGAGTGACCATTCAGAAGGACTTCCTGATGGTGGCAGCCGCCTGACAGTGGAACAGACAACCATCGGAGGTGGTGGACTCTCCTTTGTTGGAGGTTTTCAGGCAGCGGTTGGGAGGCCATCGGTCATGGATGCTTCAGTTGACATTCCTGCCTTGTGGGGGTTGGAGTAGAGGACTCTCAGGGCATTTTCCAGTTCTATATGTCTATGATTCCATGAGGAGGAAGCACACAAGCAAATTATTATCGTTATTTTAAAAATGTGTATACGGTCCTATACAGTCATACCTTGGGTTACAGACACTAAAGGTTGTGCGTTTTCGGGTTGCGCACCGCGCTGAACCTGGAAGTACCAGAACAGGTTACTTCCAGGTTTTGGTGCTCACACATGCACAGAAGTACTAAATCGTGCTATGCACAGAAGCGCTGAATCACGACCCTTGGGTGCGCAGACGCAGCGCAGCGGGTTGCAAATGTGCCTCCCACATGGATTACGTTCTCAACCCGAGTGTCCACTGTACCTGCAGATCTCAGGGTGGTCCACAACATAAAATTACAATATGAAAAACACAAAGTATATAAGGAAAATATGAACCAAAACAAACCAATAATTCCCCCTTCCACATCACATTCAAAAGGGCATCTGTTGTCAATCAGCCAAAGGCGAACCTCCTTGGGGAGATCATTCCACAAATGGGGAGCCATTGTGGAAAAGGCCCTGTTCTCTCCAGACAATTTGTGGAGGAGGCACATGGAAAAGGGCCTCAGAGGATGATGGCAGGGTCAGTTCATATCGGGAGAGGTGGTCCTTGAGATTCAAATCAGCACTTCAAATTGGGCCCGGAAACTAATTGGCAGCCACCGCAGTTGGGCCAGGATTGGCGCCCGCTTTGATCACCTTCTCAAACACCGGCCTTCTTAACTTGCAAGGAACATTACTGGCCCTGCCCTCCACTTTTAATTAAAATGTCAGTGGAGGCCTTGGGCCCTTCACTCACAACAGTTCCTTCGTTGGTGATAATGCATATAAATGGCATTGAACCCATTATTGTTAGCAAAGGCAGGCAAGCACATCGTGAGCTGGGGAGGGGAGAGGGGCAGCTAGACCTTCAGGACTGACCTGGAGGCTCCAGTTTTGCCTGGCCCCCTCCAGATAGTGGTGGTGGTGGTCTGAATCTCCACATGGTTGAGATTATCATTGTTATCATCATCAAGAAGGATGTATGTGCAGTTTGCAAGCTTCAGCCCAATAGGAACTGGCTGCAAATTATTGCA